CCGAGATGGCAACGGGAGAGGCGATCCGACGGGTTCCTCTCACTGGAGATCCAACGAACGTGCAGACGGCATCCTGAAGCCAGTGACAACGAGGCCAACTTCAACATGACAGACTGAAGGTGAACTGATTTCGCTCGGCCCTTGCAGCAAGCCAGCGCCAGACACATGTTATCGACGAAGGCAACCACTCGCCGCCCCACGGCAGCACCAGCGCGCAGGATGTGCTTGTAGGCCAACACGAGGGCCTCACCCTCTAACTGCATGATATCGGCGTCGTAGCCCACTCGAACGGCCAAGACATCCTTCCAATCCTGGGGCCTCATGAGGTCCGCGGGGATCTCCTCGAAGAGCAGGGGGTCCACGTCCATGAACCCGAGGGGCATGTAGTCCGGCGGGCGGGCGGCAGCCTCCGCGTAGACGACGTCCCGAGAGTCCTCGAAGTCCCTAGACTCCCGAAGTGCGTTGAGGCGAGCCTTCTCCGCGCCCTCCACACGATATCTCACTCTCTCGCTTACTCGACCGATCTCTGCAACTTGATCCTCAGAAAGTGACCGATGGCAAACTCCAAGACCGAACTCTGACGCGTCCGAGGCACAGATCTGCGGATGCCACCCTGCACACATGTCCGTTGTGAGGAGAGGGAGAGTAGCAACAATCCTACGAAGCTCTAATGCCACCTGAGGCCAGAGGGGGGTCACCACATCCTTTGCCGTCTCAATGAACGCGTAGCACGCATTCAGGATGGCCAGAGCTTCACGACGGACCATCGAGGACCACGTGATATGTCCCACAATAACTCTGAGCAGAACACCGCTGGCAGAACCCCTGGCCAAAAGGCGCTCAATGGCGAAGCGCAGGCGCCAGAGGCTCCGAGGCTTCACAGACAGCCAGCGGCCGGCGACGACGAGAAAAGGTCGAATCCCTAGACGGCTCACAGACTTCATGCACGAGGAGACCAACAGATCTGAGCCTAGCGCTAATCTGGTCAAAAGCAGCCTTCACATTTTTCTGAGACTGGCCCAGCACGAGAAAGTTATCAACGTAGCCCGCAGCAGCCGTATCATCGGCTGCCCTAAAGAAGACGCCGGGCTCACCGTCCGATATGACGCGACTCGGGCTGAAGCCCGCCTCTTGGATAGCGCTTCGCATCGCAGCCTGACAAAAATGAAGGGCCCAGGAGAAACCCATCGGCATCACAGTTATGCACGGAAGGAGGGCCTGTCCCGCCATCTGAGGAACACCCTCCAGTCCAAAGGACACGAGTAAACCCGAATCGATGGGCGGCAAAGAGAACCATTCTATCATGTCAGCGGGAACCCGCATGCGATAAAAAGGCACACTGAACATCACCTGAAGCAGCAAGACAAGGGCCGCCTCTCGATTCGATGGCAGAGAAGGCGGAAGCCGAGGGGAGTCGAGTAGAGGGGGGGGCGTTGAAATAAAAATTGGCAACTCTAGTGTCGAAAATGAGACGTAATTGATCAGACTTCTTGGCCGCGCAGAATACTCCAAGGAGGCCCTTCCTACCCCGCGCAGGCTGAAAGCAACATCCCGCGCCGGGCCAGACAGGCCAGAAAGTCAGCGTAATTACGCGGAGGGGGAGTGGGAGAGGATAGGGTCGATATAGGCTCCTTTGGGACAGGCCTCCTGCACCAAAACCTGGGCCTCAGTTGCTGGCCTCAGCATGTGAGATCTCCAATCCTTAAGCCAGGAGGAATCGGCCTGTGAGAGCAAACGATGAAGGTCAACAGGGACCGTGCCCTCATCAGGCCACGCAACGAGGTCACGCGAATAAGAAGGGGTGGGGCCCGCATCCCCGTACAACGACTGGTTGCTCAGAAGCTCGCTGAGGGCTCCCTGAGCGAATCCCGCCTCGCTGGGAGGAGGGCCCAGACGACAGCAGCAATCGCTGAAGCGATCGAGTACTCTTTTCTGAGCAAGAGAAGCGGGGGCCGGCGCAGTCTCCTTATATCCTGACATCTGGTTGAGGGCCTTCACAGCATCATTAGCCCAATTGACTGAATGCTGGAGGCGAAGGCGGCGACGGCGCACGGCCCTGCAGACACTCGCTGGAGCATCGGAGCGAGGGCCGAGGAGAGGGAGCGGGAAAACGTCTCTCTGCCGGTAGCTGCCACCAGAACGGGGATTCAAAAAGTCGCTCGAGCCCGGGCCCCCATCTCCCGGGCTCGGGGGTAACTCACGTCCCACCGCCGGGCCCTGAACCATCCTTGCCGCCTTTCTTGGCGCCTTTCTTGGCCGGGCCCGCTCCCCTCGCGCCTTGCGGCGCTCCTTCGAGATCTGGTACTCCTTCGAGAGTTGATCTTTGACGAAATCGGCCAGCTGGGGGCTCACGCACACACATCCTCGAATCATGTCCGTCCCCATGTACAGGTGGTTGTCGGCCACGCTGTCCGATCCGCCGGCCTATCACGGTATCGTTCTTCCTGCACTTGAATCACACGGCACATCGATTCGGCACACGCCAGGTTAGTGACCATGAGCTGATCGTAGAATACCATCTGCTCCAACATCCGACATGCTCTCTCATGTTCGTCAACCCCCACGTCGGACGACGACAACTTGGCCTCGGTCCGAAATCGCATATGACGGCCCATGGGCCAATGGGGCTTCCTCCATTTTGTTACATGAACTTCAGCACCCATAGGACGGTCCGTGGGCCTCGGATTGGCCAGTCCGGCCACGCGTCCTCTCGCATCATCAGAATGGCGTCGCGGAAGGAGCGGTGGCGGTTGCCCTGCACGTCAAGCGACACGGGCTGCACGCGCACGTCGCTGATACCCTGAGGAGCAGCGGGAGCAGGTGCAGCACCAGGGAGCAGGGCCGCGGCGGCGGCGGCTGGCGCCGGGGCCAGAGCCGGGGCCGCCACCGCGGGGGCGCCCGCGAGACCCACAGGGCCCGCGGCGCCCGCGGGGGCCAGGCCCGGAGCCACGGCTGCTGCCGGCGCCGGTGGCGCCACGGCAGGAGGCAGCAGGCCCCCCCCCCGGCCCCGCAAGGGCAGCTCCCACGGCGGCCAGCGCGGCCACGGGGACGAGCCCTCCACCCGGTGCTGGGCCGTCGGCCGCGCCACCTGCTCCACCGCCTGCCGCAAGCGCTCCTCCAGGCGCTGCGGGCGCGGGCACGGCCAGGGCTGCCGCTGGGCCAGCCGCGCCTCTGGCCCGACAGCCCCGACAGCTCCAGCAGCGGGCATCGGCATTCCAGCGAAACCAGCACGGCCGACTACGTTCACCGCGAAGCCTGGGCGCAATGGCAGGCCAAGGCGAGCTGCAGCAGCGTCTCGAAGTCCCTGCATTGCCGCAGGCAACGGCACATTCCGAAACCTGTGCACATGATCGGCCCCGACGGGTCCAGCATCTCGTCCGAGCGCCCCGCCCTCCAAGATCGCGAACTCCCGGATGTCGCCACCAGATGACAGATCCTCCTCGTACTGATCACCGTCCGGGGTTAGAATGCTGACAATCGGCTGGGCCCCAGGAGGAATCAAGAGGATGATCCTTTCATGCCAGATCCGGGGCCCCACCACTCCGTAACGCACGGCGATCACGTCGCCCTCCCACAAGCCCAAGTGGGCCAAGGGGTTAGCCATCAGCCCACACGTTGAGTCGCCTGGCTGCGGCTACGAAATCGAGCGGCCTGCTCACGGGCGATGTCCTCGATCGAAAGGGAGATGTCTATCTTGTGCGTGTCGTTAGTGCAGGCCTTCTGGTCGCAGCGGCGCCCAGCCGCGAAGCCGGCCGCGCCCACGATGCTCAGGCCGAGCACGAACCACACCCAAGGGAACGGGCAGCTGCACTCCACGGGCACCAGCTCCTTCACCGCCTCCCCTGGGCCGCACACGAGCTGGGGCAAGCAGTGGCAGTCGGGGCAGGGCGGCGGCGGCCGCGACAGCCCCCAGACCACGGCGGCTGTCTGCGCCGCCCGCGCTACCTCAGCCGTAAAGGCCTCGGCCAGCGCCTGCATGCGCGAGCGGGGCTTTGGGACCGACCACCCCCTCAAGAGTTTGAGCCGCGTGCCACGGATAGCACACGGGACTGTGAATTCTCACATGCGGCATCCTTGCGGCCATACCCTCCTGTGCTTACAGATCTAAAATCAAACATTTTACGATGGTGTTGGAAGGATGTTGGCCTTGTCGCCTTTTCGGCCATCCGATGCTCCAAGACGTCCCAAGAGGCACCCAAAAGCGCCCCATGACGGGCCAAGAGGCTTCCAAGAGGGCCCCAAAAGGGCCCCAAGAGGACCCAAGAGGCGCCCAAGACGGCCCAAGACAGACAGCCCCAAGACGGCCCCAAGAGGGGCCCAAGAGGGCCCCAGGAGGCCACGAGAGGCCCCCAAGAGGCCCCCCAGAGGCCCCAAGATGCCGCCAAGAGGACCCCAAGAGGCCCCAGGAGGCCCCCAGGAGGCCCAAAAGAGGTCCCAAAAGTTCAAACATGCCTCCCAAGCGCCTCCGAACGGCTTCTCAAAAGACCCCAAGAGGCCTCCCATAGAAGCATCTTGACGACGACCCTGTTTGGCCTCAAGAGCAACACAAGATGCCAACGAGAGGCTTCCTCCTCCGCCCCTTCCCCTTCCTCCTCCTCCTCCTCCTCCTCCTCCTCCTCCTCCTCCTACTTAATTATCTTCATCCTCCTCTCCTTCTCATCCTCTCCTCCTCCTCCCCTCCCCTTCCCCATCCTCATCTTCCTCCTCCTCCTCCTCCTCCTCCTCCTCCTCCTCGGCGGCGCCACAGTGGCCCTGGGCCCACGGCGAAGCAGTAGCGATCATGCAACATGGGCCGGCGGAATGAGCGAAGCGATTGAATAAAACCAAGCGGCTTCGCAACAAGACCTTTCAAACAGAGCCCGCGCTCGCCTCCAGAGGAACGAAGATCGGCGGAGGAACAGGAGGGAGGGAGGGGGAGCAAGGGACGGAGGAAGAGGAGGCAGGGAGGGACGCGACCGTCTCCTCGACCGTGGCGACCGACGACCGTCCGCCCAGGAGGCCTCCCGGCCAGCCAGCAGCCCCACGGAGGGCGGCACGGGGAGCCCGGGCGGCAGGTCGAGGCCTCTCGGGGCGCTCGGCGGGCGGCGCGCTCGGCTGGCCGCCGAAAGCGCCGCCCTCGATCGAGGGGCCGATGATCGGAGCTCGATCCTCGATCGAGCCTTGATCCTCCTCGATCCTCCTCGATAATCGTCGATCCTCCTCGAGCCTCCTCCTCCTCCTCCTCCCTCCTTCCCTCCCTTCCTGGGATCCTCGACCCTCGATCGAAGGCAGAGGACCTCCGCCCTCGATCGAGGGCCGAGGATCGGACCTGGATCGACTGTCGAGGATCGGACCTCGACCCAGGATCACGGATCGAGGAGGATCTAGGATCGAGGCGCATCGAGCATCGAGGAGGTCCGTGCCTTGATCGAGGACCGAGGGAGCATCGGGGCAACCTCCTCCACAATTACTCAATTATCCCGGCAAAGCAACCTAACAGCGATGTGTAGAAGCATATCTGAAAGCATTCCCCTTAAGATTCAGACGAAAATCCAGTTGTCGAATTCTGCTGTTCTCGCAGTCGTAGTAGCATTCGCGATGACAGTCGCAGCGGCAACGGCAGTCGCAGTCACAGCCTCAGCCTCAGCCTGCCTCCTCCTCCTCCTGCTCTTTCTCCTGCTCCTCCTCCTCCTCCTCCTCCTCCTCCTCTTCCTCCTGCTCGTCCTCGTTCTCGTCCTCCTCGTCTTGCTCGTCCTCCTCCTCCTGGTGCTCTCCTCCTCCTCCTCCTCCTCCTCCTCCTCCTCCTCCTGGTGGTCCTCGTTCTCCTCCTCCTGGTGCTCTCCCCCCCCCTCCTCCTCCTCGTCCTCCTCCTCCTCCTCCTCGTCCTCCTCCTCCTCCTCCTCCTCCTCCTCCTGGTAGTCCTCCCCCTCCCCTCCTCCTCCTCCTCCTCCTCTTCCTGGTCGTCCTCGTTCTCGTCCTCCTCGTCTTGCTCGTCCTCCTCCTCCTGGTGTTCTTCCTCCTCCTCCTCCTCCTCCTCCTCCTCCTCCTCCTCCTCCTGGTGGTCCTCGTTCTCCTCCTCCTGGTACTCTCCCCCCCTCCTCCTCCTCCTCCTCGTCCTCGTCCTCCTCCTCCTCCTCCTCCTCCTCCTCCTCCTCCTCCTCCTCCTCCTCCTGGTACTCCTCCCCCTCCTCCTCCTCCTCCTCCTCCTCCTCTTCCTGGTCGTCCTCCTCCTCCTGGTCGTCCTCCTCCTCCTGCTCGTCCTCCTCCTCCTCCTGCTCGTCCTTCTTCTCCTGCTCCTCCTGCTCCTCGTCCTGCTCCTGCTCGTCCTCGTCCTCCTGGTCTTGCTCGTCCTCCTCCTCGTCGTGCTCTTGCCCCTGCTGAAAATGTGGCCCAGGAATGGGAGTTCTGGGAAGTCGAAGAGCACGAAGTTGCCTACAGTTGGCTACGGGCATTCAAAATGTGGCCCGGGAATGGAGTTCTGGGAACTCGAAGAGCACGAAGTGGCCTACAGTTGGCTCCGGGCATTCAAAATGTGGCCCGGGAATGGAGTTCTGGGAACTCGAAGAGCACGAAGTGGCCTACAGTTGGCTCCGGGCATTCAAAATGTGGCCCGGGAATGGAGTTCTGGGAAATAGAAGAGCACGAAGTGGCCTACAGTTGGCTCCGGGCATCCAAAATGTGGCCCGGGAATGGAGTTCTGGGAACTCGAAGAGCACGAAGTGTGTGACAGTTGGCATCCGGTTATTCCTAAATGTGGCCCGGGAATGGCGTTCTGGGATCTCGAAGAGCACGAAGTGTGTGACTGTTGCATCCGGGTATTCAGAATGTGGCCTGGGAATGGAGTTCTGGGAAGTCGAAGAGCACGAAGTGTGTGACTGTTGGTGAAAAACGAGCCCGGCACCCTGCCGCCCGGCAACTCCCCAACACCTGCCCGGACCCCCCTGTGGAGTGATCTGTGAGCTCTTTTGAATCAACTAGAAACCTATCAGTTTTCGCTGTTAGGTAATATGAAAATACTCTCCCTCTTCCCCTGATGGCGTCCGGGTGATGGCCGCGCACCCTCCGCGTACTGTTTTTTACACAGGATGCCCGGGAAATCCGGGGAAACGACTCTCGCTGAGGCGCCGGCGTCATTTTTTCCCAAAATGCTGCTCTCGTTGAGGCGCCGGCCTCATTTCTGCTCCCGAATCGTTCCGAATCGTGCTCCCGCTGCAGCGTGGGCCTCATTTTCGGATCGGTGTTTGGCCTCCGTCGTTCAGGATGGCGTTCTCGCCCCAGCGCGGGCCTTTTTCTCGCGCGCCCATCCGCCCGCCACCACCGCGCCGCACCGCCACCACCACCACCACCACCAGCACCAGCACCAGTACCACACCACCACCACCAGCACCACCACCACCAGCACCACCACCACCACCACCACCACCACCACCACCACCACCACCACCACCACCACACCACCACCACCACCACCACCACGACAACCACGCACACACGCACGCACGCACGCACGTGCACCACCACCCACTACGCACGCGCGCGCGGAGCCACAGGTCCGCTACGACACGCGTCCGCGGATAGAGAAAATCAGCGCCATGGTAAGGGATGGGAGGGAGGGGTAGGACGTCAGATATGACGCGAGCGCACCTAGCTTGTCCTCCCCCCCTCTCCTCCTCCTCATCCTCCTCCTTCTCCTCCTCCTCCCCCCCTCCCCCTTCCACACTTCCTCCCCATCCTCCTGCTCGTCCTTCTACCGCCCCTCCTCCCCCGCAAAAAACAAATCCGCCGACCCCGTCGGCGGGTGTGAGGGGCTTGTCTGTTCGAGTCGTCGTCTCCGTCAATCGTCGTCTCCGTCGTCCCCTGTCCCTGCACTCTCCTCAAGCGTGTCAGCAAAGGAAGAATCTAGCATTGTCGCAACCGAGTCGAAGGAAAGCCCCTTCCCTTTGATCCCTCCCCCGGAAGGGGGGGGAGGGGGGTCGCGGTGGGGAGGGGGTCAAGACACCCCCCAGATAGCAAGCCGTCCCACCCGCCCTCCCAACACCTAAGTAGCACCCGAGCCGCAGCGCGTTCAGCGGTCGTCTTTGGATGGGCACATATTGGGAACCAAAACCGACCCCATGTACGCGACGCTAGGGCGAGGTGCGCCACGCGCGCCAGGCACCCCTTGGGCCCGAGCGTGCCAGGCACGCCTGGTGCGCCAGATGCGCCAGGTGTGCCGCATACTCCAGCCGCGCCAGGTGCGCCACGTTCGGGGCACGCGCAGAGCGTGCCAAGTGCGCCTGCGCACGTGACAGCACACATCAGGAAACGTCGCCCCCCACCATCCTTGTCGAAAGCCAATGCCCATCATTGTGTCTGGTGGGCCTGCGCACAGCAGGCCATACGCCATCAACCCCGCCGTCCCTGTCAAAACCACTTGGCAGTGATCGCGGGGTGGCCGTGCATGATCCAGATTTAGCAGCGAGGTGCATGTTGTATTGTTATTGTGTTAGGGATGGTAGCTCTGCGCGCAGCAGGTAATATGCTGACACCCGCGCCGCCCCTGTCAGAAAAGTACAAAGTGCTCGCGGTCCTCACGAACATGACTCAAGACTTTGCCCCAAAGTGTACTTTGTGTGGTTTTTTGACAGGAAGGTGGGGGGCCGCATCGGGTTGGAGGCACTGTCACATGCTCCAAGTGTGGTTGCAGAGTGCGTGATGTATTTTTCGGGGGCCAGGGATGGTGGGGGGGGGGTGAGCATGGAGTCCTCATGGTTCCTGGTTGGCTGCCGGTCGCCTGGGGGAGGGGTGTATATCAACAGGGAACAATGATCGAGGGGGTCCCGAGGGGGGTAGCCTCCCCGCCCGCAAGCCGTCTCGCTCACTCCCACCCGCCCTCTCAACACAGAAGTAGTAACCCGAGCCGCAGCGTGTTCAGCGGTAGTCTTTGGATGGACATCTACTGGGAACCAAAACAGACCCCATGTGTGAAACGGAGGGGCGATGTGCGCCATGCGTGCCAGGCGCGCCACGCACGCCAAGTGCGCCAGGCACCCCTGTGGCTCAAGCGTGCCGGGACGCCTGGTGTGCCTGGTGCGCCACGTGATCCACGTGCGCCATGTGTGCCGCATGCTCCAGCCGCGCCAGGTGCGTAACGGTCGGGGCACGCGCAGAGCGTGCCAAGTGCACCTGCGCACGTGGCAGTACACATCGGGAAACGTGTCGGCCCCCACTACCATTGTCGTGCGCAATCGCGGCGGGGTTGCTGTCATAGCGTCTGGTTGGTCTGCACGTAGCAGGCAATATGCCAGTACCCCCGCCGTCCCAGTCTAGAAAACAATGCACAGTGATCGCGGAGTGCCCGCGCATGATTCAGATTTTGCCTGTAGGGTGCATTTTGTATATTTTTGGGGAACAGGGATGCTGGCCCTGCGCGCAGCAGGAATTATGCGGGCACCCCCACCGCACTGTCAAAAAAAACGAAGTGCTCGCGCCCCCCCGATCATGACCCAAGATTTTGCCCCAGTGGACTTCACATTGTCTTTTGACAGAGATGGGGGAGGGTCTCATTGGTCGTGGTTGGCTGCTGGTCGCCTGGGGGTGGGGGTGTCTGTTAATACGTTAACAAAGAACAGTCATAGGGGGAGGAGGGGGGAGGTCGGATACGCATCCCCCTGCCATTGTGCTTCCTTGCCTTGTGCGCGGTGTGCTCTCCCTCTCGCTCCCTGCTGGACTTCCCCTCCCCGTCCCCCCGTCTGTCGGCCCGGCCTGTCTCCTCCTGTCGTCCCCCCTCCTCTCCCCCTCCCTTTCCCGCTCCTCGGCTCCTCGATCTCCGGCCCGTTTCTGTTCCTTGCCTGGCCCGCTTTTCTTTGCCAGCCTGCCCCGTGGTCCGAGTAAGAGTTGCGGTGGCCCGCACTGCCACGCTGGCGAATATCGGTGGCCCTGCTTCTTCAACATCTCAATTTTCAGAACCGTCGGCACGCATTTGGCGTGTCGTGGTCTCTTCGTTTGGAGTTGGCTGTCGCATCCCCCCTTGGGGGCTCTGGGGCTCAGAAAGTACCAAGACAAGCCAAGAGTGCCCCAAAAGGCCCCCGAGACGGTCCAAGAGGGTCCCCATTCGCCGAGCAATCGGTCCCAAAAGCCTTCACGCCCTCCAGACTGCCCATGAGGCCTCAAGGAGGCCCCAAGAAGCCTCCAAGAGAGCACTCCCGAGAAGAGGCCACATGCACAAATTTTGCGTTGGTGTTTAAAGAGTTAGGCGTTCTCGCTTTTTCCACTTCCCGCCGCTCCAAGACGACGCAAGAGAGATCGCTCTAAGACGGCCCACGAGGTCTCGAAGGAGGCCCCCAAACAGCCTAAAGAGGACCCCAAGACAGCCCAAAACGCCTCCAAGACGGCCCAAGAGGTCCCCAAGACGGCTTCAAGAGCGTGCCCAGACGGGGGACCCGAACGGACATTTCAAGCCCTCGACCCCGCAGAGGTTCCCAGAAGGCCCCAAGAGGTTCCCAACAGGCCCTAAGAGGCCCACAAGAGGTCCCCAGGACACCCGAAGATGCCCCCCAAGAGGCTCCAAAGAGGCCCCCAAGAGTCTCCCAAGAGGCCCCAAAATTCCTCCCCAGGGGTCCGCGAGAGCCGTCCGAAGAGACTCTAAGAAGCATCCCTGAGGACCCTGGCCAACGTCAGTGTCGTCGTCGTCTCCGCCGCCGCTGTTGTCGTCGCCGTCGTCGTCGTCTCCCTTCAGGGTCGGAGGCACCGGCCGTAAGGCCTTCGCAGTAATAAAAAATATGGGTGGGGGGTCTCCATTTTTCTTGTGAGGGGGCGAGAGAATAACACATCCTACTTGTCCTACTCCTCGTACTCCTCCTCCTCCTCCTCCTCCTCCTCCTCTTCCTGCTGCTCCTCCTGCTCCTCCTGCTCCCCCCCTCCCCATCCCGCATCCCCCTCCTCCCCCTTCCCCTCCTCCTCCCTACGAAGGATTCCCTGCCTCTGTTTACCAAGGCATAGTACGGCTTGAGAGGTTTAGCAAAGCTCACTGAAGGCTTACCACAGCTTCCCACGGCTTCGCAAAACTTACCAAAGCTGAGCAGAACTTGGCTGGGCTTAACCAGGTTTAGCAGTGATTCGCAGAGATCACCAGGGAATAGCTTACCAAGCTTACCTGAGCTTAGCAGAGCTCACCAGGGCTTAGCAAAGCTGGCCAGAGCTTAGCATTACTCAGCAGGGCGTACCCTGGGGCTTTTCCTCTAATAGGTGGGGAGAGAAGCGCTTTGTGGCTTACAGTGTTCGACTCCGACGGCGTCTACGTTGTGTAGTTACAGAGGAGTGCCACAACAGCGACTAAACGCAGCCAATTCAGTCCCCAAGCGCGGGATTCATGCGCAGAGGCGTCATTATTTCGCATGGTGGCTGGCGCTTCAGAACTTGTTGTTCAATTATTATCGTGTGGTGGAGACCATGGCTTTCAGAGCGGGTGCCACTCTTGTGGGAGCCGACATGCCATGCGTGTCTCATGTACGATGGCTGATTATGGTACCCTCTGGCGTGCAGACTATCACTGTCCTCTTCTTTGTCCTTCCCATGGAACTGCCTGGGCAATATGCTGGCGGCTAATTGGGATTGTGCCTTGTTGCCCACTTCGTGTCACCTCTCGGCCTCAGCTGGACTCTCTTTGCCATCTATTTGCTGCTGGACTTTCCACTGTATTAAAGGCTATCCTCTTCTACGGTGTGGAGCGTGCCTGCTGGCTACTTGATTGTGCCTGTCGGCTACTTGTTCGTCTACTGAGGCGTACTGTTGTGCAAGACCGACAGCGCAGACGAGATGGCCCACTGCTCTACCCTCGGCTCGCTGTGTGCTCATTTCTGCGGTTGACTTGTCCCGCCGAGAATGCTAACCCAAGCAAGCAAGCAAGCAAACCGTGCATCATGAAGACGCGTAGGCGGAGAAATGACTACAAATTATGGCGGTGCGCCAAGCGCGTCCCGGAAGCAGTCCGCCAAACGGTGCTTGCTGGCTCGTTTTTTGTCTTGGTGCTCTCCAGGCTCTACCTCTTCTTCTCCTTGTTCCTGATGATCTCCTGAAGCGTGCTGTCTCTGCCCGCGTCGGCTCGGCACTGCCCCTCGGGCATCGTGGCCCAGGGGCAAACGCGGGGGAGCGTGGGAACTGAGTCCGTGGGCCGCCTTCGGACGCCCTCGGGGCTCATCTGAGGTGGGCCGAGCCGTCCCGAGGACACCCACGGCCCCCTCGCCCGCCCTCCTCGGCAGAGGCATTTCTCCAGGTGGACCAGGAGCCCCTCGAGGGCTGCAACTGGTGTTAAAACCACGTCCTACAGCAGGGCGTACCAGGACTCAGCAAGACTTGGGAGAGCTCAGCAGAGCTTGCCAGTGTTTAGCAGTGCTGAGCAGGCTCAACATGGCTCAGCAAGGCTTACAAGGCCTTGGCAAGGCTTACCAAGGCTCAGGAAGGCTTACCAGGTCTTAGCAGGGCTCAGCAAAGCTTGCCAAGGCTGAACAAGGCTCAGCATACCAAGCTCAGCTGGGCTTGGCACTGCGTCCAAGCTTAGCAGGGCTTGGCACAGCTTACCAGGGCATCGCAAAAATTACCAGAGCTCAGCAGGGCTCAGCAGCTAGCAACGCTTACCAAGCTTAGCAGTGCTGGGCCGGCTCAGTAGGACTTAGCAAGGTTTACAAGGCCTTGCCAAGGCTCACCAAAGCTTCGCAAGGTTTACCAAGTCTGAGCAGGGCTTTGCAGGGCTCAGCAAAGTTGAGCAGGGCAAAAGGCTTTGCAAGGATTTGCAGGGCTTAGCAAAGCTTGCCAAAGCTGAGCAAGACTCAGCAACGCTTAGCGGGGCTTAGCAAGGCTCGCCGAGCTCAACAGGGCTTCGCAGGCCCTCCAAGCTTAGCAGGGCTTAGCAGAGCTGACCTGGGCATAGCCTGTCTTACCAGGGCTCAGCAGGGCGTGCCAAGACTTAGCAGGGCTTTGCCAAGCTTGCCAGGGCGTAGCAGTGCCTAGCAGGGCTCAGTAGGGTTTAGCAGGGCGTACCAGAGCTTAGCAGGGCATACCAAGGCTTAGCAAAGTTTAGCAAATCTTAGCAGGGCTCAGCAAAACTCAGCAGGGCTTCAAGGCTCCGTGAAGCTTAGCAGAGCTTAGCAAAGCTTGCCAAGGCTGATTGAGGCTTAGCAGGGCTTGACAGAGCTTACCAGGTCGTAGCAGGGATGGCCTACCAAGGATCAGCAGAGCTTACCAGGGCCGAGAAGCGCGCGGCAAGGTCTACTCAGGCGTAGGGGCTTAAGAGGCTTAGCAAGGCTTAGCAAAGCTTCGCAGGAATGAGCAAAGCTTACTTAGCAGGGTTTGGCAAGGCAGACCAAAGCTCCCCAGAGCGTAGCGGGGCTTAGCAGACCTTGGCACAGCTTAGCAAGTCTGGGCATGGTTTAGCACAACTTAGCAGTGCTGGCCAAGGGGGCACTAAAGCTTAGCAAGGCGTAGCAAACATTACCAGCGGGTGGCAGGGCTTACCAGGGGTGAGCAGGCCAAAGTGACAAAGTAATGGCAAGGTGAACTGACTAGTGAAGATGTTGGCAAACTGACTGTATAGCTTAAGAGTGAAGAGAGAAAGCGCGAGAGAGAGAGAGAGGGAAAGGTTAATCATGAAGAAGAGAGAAAACTGCGAAAACTCCCCTGGAACACACAGAGGTGTTCCACAATCCCCCGGCCTCGTGGACCGGGGGCGGGGGGAGGATGGATGGAGGAAGGACATGAGGGGGGAAAAGGGAAAGAGGACGTAGAGGGAGGAGGAGGAGGAGGCCCCGAGGGCATCGTCGTCCACGCCGTCGCTCGTCCGGGGCGGCCCGGCCTCCGGGCGAGTCCCAGTCGGCCGGAGCCTCGAGCCCGGGCGGCGCGCAGATGCCGCGCGCGGCCTGCGCGACGTGGCGCGGCTGTCCCCGGCCGCAGATCGCCGTCGGCGACAAGAGTCGACGGTCGTCGTTGTCGTCGTTGTCGCCATCGTCATCGTCGTCGTCGACGACTACATTTGACGACACTCGACGCGTCCGATTGATTTTTCGACACTTGTCGGAAATAATATGATGTTTCTGTCCATTCTCTGTCCCCCCTCCCACCCTCTCTCCTCCACCTCCTCCTCCTTCGCCTCCTCCTAGAATTCCACCTCCTCCTCCTCCTCCTCCTCCTGATCGACAAGGCAGCCCGACACCATCTCTCCCGACAGAACATCAGCGCCAATGCGCCAACGTCCAGATCGACGGGTTCGACGACACGGGCAACTTCGGCATGGGCTCAGGAATGATGCCAGGCTGCAGTACAGGGCCCACATCATTCAACTTCGTCTACGAGAAACCAATCGGGCAATGGCTAGATTCCAAGCCGTTCGCCGCCGTGACGCCCATCACTCACGCCTCTATCCATCAACCTGTACGTGGACGACATCCTCAAGATGCATCTCATTCAGTCGGGGCTTAGCCAAGGACGCCGCCGCAGTCCTCGCCAACAGCAGCACCATCCTCGACTCCGCTCTCGCCAAGTACGGCTTTCATCAGAACAGGGGCAAAGAAGAGATCGTCGGGGGACTCCGCACCAGACGTGAAAACCGAACACTACAACAACACCTATCTGGTCGCGTCTTACGTACCATGAAGTACCTCGGCGGTCAATTCCACCACGCGGGCAGCAACATCATCGAGATCGACCAGCGCATCCAGAGCATGAAGCGCGCATGGCACATCATGGGCAAATTCTGGTACCGACGTGTCTCCTGGCGCCTCAAGCGCATCGTTTTCCTCAACCGCATCGTGGGCGCCGCCAGCAGCGACATGGAGTCCTACTACCTGAAGGACACAGAGTACAAGCGCCTCGACACCGTCATTTCCACGTACCTACGCGTTATCATGCAAGGCAAGGCAACCAACACAGACGAGCAGGGCACCTACCGCACCATGAGCAACATCGAGGTGTTCAAGTATTGCCACATCTCACCAATGTTCATTGAACTACGTGTGAGGCGTTTCCGCATGATACAGGCCTCAGTCAAGCACCCGCCTGACTATGACCAGTGGCTCACGGCGCTCTTCGGATTCACCCAGTTCGAGAACGACGCCAACAGGGAGCAGAACGGAGAGCTGGACGACGAGGGCCGCCTCGTGCCAGAGGCGAACCAGATGGCCAAGCAGTACTATCAGGACATCCTCGCTATCCTCGAGCTTGACAGCGCCGAGCAGTTCGGCTACATGTGGGACGGCAGCATAACGCAACTATATCATGACACAGATGTCTCAACGGTTGTCCTCAAGATAGACGTGGCAGAGCTCCGAGCCAAGGCATCAGCAGTTTCGATTCCTCCGCCAGAGTGCGAGCCACAGCACCCTTCAGAAGACGTACGAGACGGCGATGAACTGGGCTTCTACAAATGTGAGCTACGCAAGGACACAGGACAAGTCTGTGGTCGAGTCTTCTCAACATGGACAGCACTCTGCACGCATCAGACCACAACAAAGGGTGGAAAACACGGGATGCGATCGGCAGCGGCAGTAGTGACCATCACGAATCAGTGTCCTCTCTGTCGCACGTCGTTCCTCGATCGCGCCCAAGCTGAAGACCATCTGTTGAGGTGTCTCAAGCATCAGCGCTGCATTGCCGACAACACGAGATTCAGTTACCCACTACTTCCTGTGGGGAATCCAGTTTGCCAGCTCTGTCCTGATCTGCCGCCGTCTCCACATCTCTCAAGCTTCCAGAGCCACATTTGCGAGATGCACTTGCCATCCGAGCAGCGCGAGATTTCTTTGGACATCGGCCTCTACACAGATGTCTTGGTGCGTGCCCGGCGAGAAAGAGATCAACGACGCGGCCAGCAGCATGGCGGACGCCGAGCGCGCGGCCAAGCAGCAGAAGACGGCGCACCCCAAAGGCGGCAAAGGCAACAAAAAGAAAGGGCCAGATGGCGAGGGCGCCGCGGAGGGCGAGGACGCGGTCATGGGAAACACGCAAGAGAAGGGCGAAGCTGGACCAGCCGACGCAGCATCAGCAGGACAATGCCTTCAGCGCCACCAGCGAGGTGGAGAGGCCTACCAGACGAAGTGCGACCCCAAACTCAAGAAGCTCCTCACGGTCCTCATCAAACAGGTGCTAGCCAACACGCAACAGCTGGCGTGGGTGGTGGCAGCAGTCTACAGCACGTACCTCATGCCCACGCAGAGCAAGGTGATCAAATCCCTGCGGGCTTGCAGGGAGATCCACGCGGACAGACGCAGGGAGGCGGGCAAAGGTCATTAATTCTCTCGGTCCGCCCGAGGGACACATGCACATCACACTTATGTCGACCCTCTGCGCCGAGGACGTGGGGGCCAAGACCAGGGCCATCTTGACGGAACACGGGAAGTTCGTGGACGCCATCAGCGCACCGACGGCCCTCAACACAGTCAAGCACCTGAAACCCAGCAAATGTTTCGACAGCAACCAAGCCAAGCTCACCATATTAATTGAGCAGGGTGCCTGGACAAAAGCCGAAGCAGAGGAGGGCCCGTCCGAGCTCCAGCTGGTGCAGGCCAACATCAAAGACAGCATCCACCGCGCCCAACTACAGGTCGGAGCCACCGCGAAGACGGGCAAGCCTCCAGCGGGAGTCATGGAAGATGAACTGGCGGCATGGCTCGTTGGGATGTGAATTATAACGGGAGTGGCCGAGCAACTGCGCCTCGTTCGGCAAGTGGCGGGTGCAGCGCGGCGCCGTGGCCACAGCGAAGGTGTCGCTCTGAGCGGCGACGGCGGGGGCCCATCCATGCTGCTCTTGCACTGTTCCACCCCCCAATGCCGCTCTATCTATCGATCCTCCTCCTCCTCTTTTCAGGGCGCCCCTGAGGGGGTCGATTGACCCTGGTAGGCTCGGAGATAGGATGTCTACAGAGAGGGATGTTTATCATGACATGCAAAGAACGAAACGTCTGGACGCGCCCTTGAGTGAAACGGTTGCGGCGGGCAGGCGGGCTATACACACGCATGCGCACGCATATACGTGCGCGCGACATACCTACGTATGTCTGCTATCTACTGCACTGCGACTCTGGCATCACTCCTCCTCATCGCAGGCCTCAGACAAGATGAGGTCCGCGAAACACATCTCGAAGCCGACCACGACGTTGCTATTGACATAGCTCAGGTGGTCGACTTCGCACAACAAATATTTGTGGAAATCTACACTGTAATATACATGTCTGGTCATATCGAACTAGCAATCGAAAAAAATACTTCCAGCAACATACCGTAGCCACCCGAAATTCACGACGTCGCTCTCACTGTCCCGGACGTTCGCTCGGGACTACTCCAAGAATATAACTGTTCTCGTACTGTAACCTTCCATGTACCTGTTGAGAATGCTCCGGGGATAACTGCTCGTGCAACTCCGCCTTTTGTGAGAGCGTCACATAACAGATCACGAGTACCCACGCGATATATTGATTTGAGCCGTCGCGCCTCAAGATGTCCACGAAGCGCACGCACTCCATAGATCAGCTGTCTTTCAGTCGGTGTCGAGACTTCTTGCGCCGTAGCTGCATCGAATACTGAGTGGGCTTCCAACGCCAGATGTAGATCCACTCCACAACGTACAGACACAACAGAATGTAGTGGCACTGCCGTCTGAGAACCTTTTCAACCATTCTTCCAGAAATCCATTCAATAACATACCATACTCCGTAGCTTCAATAGCATTGTTAAGCTCTGCGCTGAACGTGCCTCTGATAACCTTTGCCTGCTTGCGTGAGAAATACTCCCATACGTGAAAACATCCTGAGGGTGCTGAGCCAGGAACTTCGCAAAGTCCAATGCTAGCCGCCCTCAATGCTAAACAGTCCACATCATCAGCTGGATAGGCACTATCAGCAATCACCGTCATACATAATGGCGAAGTTGGTCTACTGAATATTATCGTTGAGGGTGCTCTCTTGATCCACTTCAGAACTTTGTTGAGGTCTTTCGAATCCGATATCTTAACGTCCTTCATGTTACGCTGCAGCTTCCCAACATATACCACGATATCTGCCCTCGTCAGAACCATCCATGCCACTCTTCCTAACAACGACATGTAAAGGCTGACCTGTTCATCGTTGGCTTTGTCTGAGTCGGCCTGCCAAACGTTGTCGTGGGGATAGGCTTCAGCTGGCTCACATAATGATTCTGGTCCACTGTACGTTCCATCGTTTTGGGATCCTGTCTGTGCTGGATCCCAACACATTCAAAAGCTGCCTCGATCAGCTCACACTTGCCGTACTTCGCCTCCAGTCGCCGGAACAGCTCCACCCTCGTCGTCTCCTCGCACGCGCCCTTGAACTCATCCACGTGAGTTGCCAACACTCCGAGCGGAACCATTCCATTATCCGTGTAAGGTTTGCCCGTGATTGAGCACATGCCGTCGTTCTCCGTCGCCTTGCGGTGCTTGATGCACAGCTTGGTGTCTGACCTCGCCGGCTGCCAACTTGCCTCCACTAGAGTCTCGGTGAGAGCCGTGCTCCACGACCACGGCGCATCTTTAGTGCCGTAGCCTGGCTTGCTCATATCCAAGACCTCGGTGATCTCGCTGAAGTCGTGAAAGCCCTCGATCTGCCTCAATAACATGTTAGCTCCAGCCGGCAGTTCACATTGAATAGATCTTAATTTGGTGCCCGTTTCACCTGCGATCTGCTTGAACGTCCTCCCTCTGAGAAAAGCCATGGGCATGTCCGTCGACCATAACTTCCACTGGTAGAGAATCGCCATTGAGCATACAGTACGTTGTCCCCATCTCGATGCTGTGCCAGCAAACGTAGTGAGCGATTCGGCCTGTCTGTCCTTGAAGCCACGCACTGTTAGTCTCGCTTTGATCTTGCGAACTCCACCTATCAGCTTCCACTTGAACACATCTGCTGTCTAC